ATTTTCGCTAGACGATGATTTTGACAGCTCCCTTCGCGCTCGCAGAATGGGTGTTTTTGGGACCTAAGCTTCACAAGACAGCAATTTAAACAGCTGATCGGCGTTTCGCAAAGTGTCTTTCCTATGGCCGATCTTCGCTAGACGACGGTGATTCTTCCCCGTTGGAATGGATTAAACAGGTTTCAATGCGTTCCAATGGGGAAATGCTTTACGCTAGACGATAAGGGGTCACGAAGAGTCGGACACGACTAAACGACTAAACACACACACAGACGATGATTTCGCTAAACAGCGATTTCAGTAGAACGGATTATCATCGTCTAGCGAGGCACCACTGTACTATGGTTCACAGATGCTCCATGGAGCCCTCTCGTGAAACCAGATTTAACAGAGGGATCCCATCCAGATCCTCTCTCTTCTTAATAACCCGGCTACCCATCTCATCATCTCAAACAGAGGATTGATACATGCACCCTATTCTCCCCGGCCAGTACCTGAATTATTTTGCACAAGCTCGTTAAAATATATAGTTTATAAGCAAACTACGAATATTTTACCGACTTGATCTAAACCACTGGGTACCTTGATCAGGTTAAATGGCAATTAATCCTACAAGCATCCCATTGATGCTGATGAGGAATTCTCTCCCGAAAGCAGATGACCCGGAATACCCCATCCATCCATCCAAAGCAGCCTTCGGAATCCAAAGACCCAGCGCAGCCAGTGAGTGGCAACTGCCCCCCCCAAAAAACCAGAGGCTAACCCGAATTATAACTGGAGTTATCCTGGAACCGACCTTAAAAGCTTTCTGGACTGTCCTACACGTGTCACCAGGTTTAGGGCCAAACAAGGGGCTGCAATTCCCAAGAGGGTCGCCAAGCAGGAGGGCCAACGAACCCCTCGCGTGTTGGGGAGTCACGCACGGGAAGGGCTCGCTAAAGGAGCCTCCCAAACGCGGGTCAGCCACGGCGTCACGTGTGAACAGGGCCTGGCGCCGCTGTTTTAGCTTTCCCCGAAGGGATAAAAAAGCGATTCCACGCAGGCTTCACAGAAAGGCATTCAATCCGGATTTTAAGGCCCGGAAGTGTATCGCTGCCCCCCTCGAACCCCCCATTTCACCCCCCATAACGAGTTCTGCGCCTCTGCGGCCTACCGACTTCCCCGCCCTCGCCTCCAATAGCCTTCCCGCGGTGGCTCCCCATTCCCCGCCGCTTTCCTTCGCAGGCCTCTCCCCGTCCCGTCCGGTCCCCAACCCTGACCCGAAAGACCCTTCCGACGACGATGGAACCGGATTAAAACCTCCCCCCACCGTCCGAGACTCACCATAGCAGCAGCGAAAGGCTCAAACCCCCGACCGGAAAAAGAAAGGACGGAAGCCGGGAGGGAGCAAGAAACCTGCGCGCTGGATCAACCAATGCGCTCACAGCGCACGGGGGAGGGGGAGGGAAGGAGGACAGAACGTCGAGGCTTCCTCCCCCTACCCGGTCTTGCAATGGTTTAATCCATCTACAGCTGATTGAGGACGAATTTTCTCCCCCTGGGAGGTTTGATCGTTAAGCTTCCGCCCATAGAGCGCGAACAGCGATTATTTATTTATTATTTAGCAATTATAAAAGCAACGCGATGCAATGCATTAAATGCTAATTCGGATTGGGGGAAAAAAAAGAAAAGAAACCCCCAAGAAATCTCAAAGTGCCTGTTGATAGCAGAGTCCTATGGCTCAGGAAGGATGATTGTTTTGTGATTTGTTCGGTTTATTCCTAAACAATTAATCCCTGGCTTTTGCCTGAAAAGGTTAAGAGGCTGCTGTAGGAAAAGAATAATACATGCAAATTTATTTATTCGTTTGTGTGTATATATATGTATATGGCTTCCTTAAGGAATTTGTCCATCTCGTGTTGGGGGTCTTCCTCTTTTCCTGCTGCTGTCCATCCTAACTGGGGCAGCCTGTGTATCCTGTTGTTAAGGGGAGAGGGGGAGGAGTAGAGGCCATGATATCTTTATTTAAAAAGTGTATAGCCTGCCCTATATCGTAGGATCTCTGGGAAGTTTACGACACTGTGTAAAACAATTTAAAAATATTAGATATTTAAAACCATTTAGAGTCAAGCCACACAAAGTTAAAACTAGGGCTGAAATTATGGCCAACAGTGGTGGGAGTAACTCTTACAGCTGGAAATCCGACCAGATAGGCGGGATATAAATTAAATAAGTAAGTAAGTAAGTAAGTAAGTAAGTAAGTAAGTAAGTAAGTAAGTAAGTAAGTAAGTAAGTAAGTAAGTAAGTAAGTAAGTAAGTAAGTAAGTAAGTAAGTAAGTAAGTAAG